ACAACATAATTCAATTTATCAAAAAAATTAACTTATACCAAAATATTTAGGTCAAATTTAAAATTAATAATATTAATTTAGCTTAATCTATGTAAAATAATTTAATCTCTTTTTAAAATTTAATACTATATTAATTAAGAGTTTGGCTAAAAAATTTCTTTTGCTTAAAATTAGTTTAAAAAAAAAAAAAAAAAAGTAATATTGAAGTATTTTTATTTAGAATTTTGCGAATAATTTTAACTGATAATATATGTAAATTAGATGAAAGTACTTAATTTTTGCTTTTGATGAAATATTATTAATTACGATTTTAATTTTGTAATTTTTGCAATGTAAAGCTGAGCCCAAGGAAACCCAAAAGGAGTTGGGGCTCTTAGATTTTATTGTTAATAAATAATAAATAAATAAATTGTGTAAATAAAAATCGATTTGAATGCTGTGATCGTATTTTTAATATTTAAAAATTTAATCGAAGTTGTTATTGAAAATCTAAATTTGTAATCGAAATGGTTAAAAGAACAAAATTTTCACTGCATGCGATAAGTTATGAGCTTTAGCGGTTCAATTATATGTAGCCCAATCATACAGAAAAAGGCTTAAATATCATGTGCTTAATTCCTTATATTTATTCGCTCAATTCCTTTCATATCAATTTTCAAGTAAAGGAAAATGTGAAGGATATCTTAAATTAACTAATTTGATTTTCATGCATTCAATTTTACAACTACGTCAGGTATTGGTTTTCAATCTCTGAGATATGTAAAAAGATATAAATGTGATGATAAAAAATTCACTTGAATGAAAATCTAAAGAAACATGTTGGATAATCAAAAGCAGTGTAAGCAAATACTCGACAATTCTAAATTTCATTGCAAAATTTAATAACATATTCATGAAAGAAGATTAATGCTGGCAATCTTTATCTTGTACAATGTTCTACTTTGAGTAATTTTTATATGAAAACGAAACCCTTCTGCCCGCTTGGCAAATATTGCTTAGTATTATTCAAAAAGTTTGATTCTATATACTATTGTCTTCAGTTTGTGTCAAATCAATTTGAAATATTAATTACTTACTCTTCATATACATTCCAAACAATGACCATTCTGTCTGTTATAAAATATTTAGTTGCTTTAATATTATATTTAAAATTTTCAACAAATTTAAAAGTTTACTATCATTTAATAGAAAATTTCCTGTAATTTTCTACAAACTTTAATCGTATAAATGTGTTATAATTGTGAATTATACACTTTCGAATAAATTAAACTTCTTAAACTCAAAAAAACGTGCTTGAAATTCAAAGCAATAAATACAAATTAACTGCACACATACAAATATGAAGTATATGAATCTTCTTTATCTTAAAGTTTCATTTCAAATAACCCAATAAACGACATCCTTAATCATTGTGAAGGTTTGGATTATATTATTAGTTCCTAATTTCTTTTCTTTATATTTCATATTCTAATCGAAAAAATTTCTCAAACTTTCACGAGCATGTATGTGCATATGTATTAATAGTTATAACATTATGTTTCAATTCAATATTATCCTATGAATGTATGTTTTTAATGAATATATATATTTTAAACATAATGTTGTGCATATACTGAGGGTTTCCAACATAGTGAGCTGCACCATCATAATGATATGTTACATACTATAATGCGTTTAATTTTTTGCGCTAAAATTCATACCCTCTCCATGTTAACAACAATATAGCTATAATATTAAAAATATTAACAGAACTCAGCAGTGAGTATTTCTTTTTAGGCTGAGTTTTTAAATAAGTATTTTTGGAATATATTCGATAGTACAACATCTTTACAAATGTGAAGTCTTGGTGATGTGAAGTAAAATTAGTCATCTAGAACTCAAAAAAAAAATTCTTTAAATGACTCGAAAATGTATTTATGTTCAAGATATTGAAATGATGTTTCTTTACATTCAATTCACCTTCTCCTTATTTCAGATAGAACAAAAATAATAGAGTTGACCGTGTAAACCCTGTGACACCCGTGCAAATGTTTTTTTAAGAATTTTATCATAATAGTTCTTATGCAGCTCGTGTTAACAATTTAATGGAATAGTTGACCAATTACTAAACTCTTTCTTGCCAAATTTGAATACACTAGATTTTTTACTCTTTATAGTTTTCAGGATCAGCTATTGCAAGAACTTGTATAATGACAATAAAATTTTATATAGTTATGAACAAACTCGTTAAAACAAAATTTAATAGCTTTATGCCTTACATAAATTTCTATACTGTGAAACTATTTTGCTTCGATCGGATCCAAATTAAATTTGGTTACAGCCGCAACTACTTTAAAAAATTTGTTTGAATTTAGTTTGTTTAGATCAATGAGTGACTGATGTTGCGGATAAACGTCGACTCATCTGAATCGATTTAAAATTCGACGCGGACTGATCAAAAACATAACGTATATGTGGGTATCATCTGTATCTCAGATGTCTATTTCCAAGCATTACAAACGCAGTGGCAAGGAAATTATAAAACATTCGTGTGTACGGGTATATAAATACTCTATAAAGAATGCGTCTCCCTATAATAAAGTAAAAGAATTCCGTTGGTAAAAATACTCTCATACATACATATATTATCATATAGATTCGTATTAGATGTGATTGAGAACCTCTTATATTAAAATTATTGAAGAATAAAAATCAATATTATACGTGTATAACAGTTATGCCATGTTTCTAGCAACATATTGAAATCTTGCCTTTTTTTGTCTCTATTTTCTTTTGTCTATTCCTTTTTTTTTCTTCAGTTTCCAGTGATCAAAAGGATCCTTACTGATAATAATTTTAATATTATAATTCAAGTTTCCTACACATGTACATCCTACATGGATACGCGTGATTGTATATATATATCTTATTATATACTATAGCTTCCATATTTATTTTACATTTATTTTGTGACATCTTGTTGGAAGGAACAAGGCAAAGAGGTTACAAGTATTCACGATTTTGTGTTTTTATAAGGAAAAGTCAATGTTTTCGATAAAGTTTTATAAAAGAAAAGGCACAAAATATATATCAAGTATACATTTACGAGTATATATAGCTAAAAGAAAAGTGTTTGCTTCTTTTTTGTATAAAATAAATTCGTATGTAAATTTTCTTTAAGAATTTTCTTTAAACTTTCACTTCCTTTTTCATTGTGAATGTTGATAATATTAATTTCTTTTTTTGTTTTGTTTATCTTAACATAATGTAAAGCATACAGTATTAAAGAAAATAAGATTTTGAAACGTTAAGCAATAACGATTAGGAGTTATCTAAAGGTCATCTTACATTTTTGCTTTTCAAATTCATTAACAAAATCTCGTATAAAATTCAAAATTAAGTAATGAACTAAAATTTCATAAGATGGGTTTTCTCCAACAGGAACGTATTTACTTGTTCTTAATTATAAGATTAACAGTTTATTTTTACTGTCAGACGATATGACCAACTCTTGGTCTTCATTAGGTTGCGGCTTATAAACCTATAATGTTCTATATACCTATAGAACATTTTAAAACTTTGAATACTTTTTATGACTAGATGTTCTTTTTATGACTAGAATTAATAGATTTTCTTGAAAATTTAAAGTTAAACCGAAATTACAACATTTTCTTAAGAAATCAGACAACAGTAACTAAAAGGAGTCAAATTCAAGCCTTTGCCTATTATAAAAGAATAATTAAATAATTTCTTGAAAGGTGTAAGCCTAAACACTGATTGTCTAAAAAAAAAGACTTTATATTTAATGCGAATTGACTGCTTACCGTTTGGCTCACATATAATAGATGCGCTTGTACAAAATTAACTGAAAATATCGTTTCTTTAGTTTGTATTGATATTATTTCTATTTATTATAATATGTAAATTGAATTAAAAATTATTTAGGTCCTAAAATAGAACATAAAAATACATTCAAAACTGTAATCCTATAAAATTAAATCATTTCCGATTGATTTCTTTCTTTGGAAAAAAATCCTATAAATAGACTTTTAATTTTATCATAAATTTTCCTTTGAAAATTCAATTCAAATAAAATTCTCATATATACTTTACTTGGGATTCAATGTTGGGTATTATTAGTTTTCTCTCATTCTATTAGTATATACATATATTATTCGTATAAATAAATGGAAAATTTTATGTAAAATTTTATGATGTTAAATTCAGATTTATTTGGAAAGAACGCTAATAACAGTATTGTACATTAAAAACAAGAAAATGTAGAGGTGACCGGGTCAACTATACGAGTGCTTTACATTATTTATAATACCCGTACGAGTACTTTCTAATGTTTATAACGATCAAATTATTTTTGAAGTTAAAGTATGACAGCTATTTTATTTTACACAATACACTTTCATATTTTTTCAAAATATTGGCCGTATTAGCGTTCTTTTTTTTACAAAATTTTAATACAAAAGGCTTTATAGCTTCCGAGACACGAGCAAATTTTTTTTATCTTTGAATGGCGCCGTTACTCGAACTATTGCTTCAATTTAACCAAAACTCAATAGAGTGCTCCTTGAACTGTTCCTGTTCCTATTAAATGACGAAAAATTATTAAAGTTATCGAAATTTAATGAATTCTCAAGATATCGCAGAAACAAACGATCCAGTGAAATCATCTCAAAATTCGACACGAAGCAAAAATATATGACTATAATATGTCATTGCTGCTATTATTCTAGAATTTTTGAACTTTTGATCATCATTATTGATAAAAAAAACACAGGGCTGAAATTAGTCGTATTATCGCAATCAGAGAATATTTCTAGAAAATTGTGTAGTATTTGAAAAATTCTCCGAAGAAGCTTGAAATTTCATTATAATTTTGACTAAACCGAAGCTTCTGTATGTAACTATTTATACAAATTCACCTTAAGTTTTACTTCTTAAAATTTAATAAATTAATTAAAAAATATTCGCTAAATAAAATTTTCTCTTTCTTTGAAACAATGCAGAAGTGATTACCCTTTGGTTATGGAAGAATGGCATACTATTAGAATTTCTAGGACAGCTCGCTTGGCAGTTCTGAAGGTGAGTTTTTTCACATCAATATTATTTTTTTGGGTACATACACTCTGTGGAATTTTTAGACTTAAGTTTATGGAATTTCATAGAATTTGAGTTAAAATAACAAACTTAACTCTATTTTTTCCCATTTCATATTCAGGTCAATCAATTTTCTGAAGTGATGACTGTTTCATCTAATGGTTTTTGGCATTTATCATTACCACATAGTTTATACCTTGGTGGAATTCATAGTTTACATCATGTACCATCTGGATTAAAAGAACGAGGTTCATTCATTGGTTGCATACAAAAGGTAAGTAATGACAAGACAAAAAATTTTTTTTCTATTGATTTTAAAAACTGTAGTTTCTTCGTTTATATTAATATTGTGTATTAAATGAGAAATTTTTCTTTAAAAAGGATATTTGAGTAAGAAGCATTCCATCTTAAGTATAACAAAATCTTTTTTTTTCATTTTAACTAAAGTAACACCTCAACTTTTTACAATCCCAAAAGCTATGTTAAATAAACCTAAACAAATAGAAGCAGTAAAACTTTTAATTTTTACAAAAATTTTTAATTTCAAGTTAAAAAAATTTTTATTCTTAATTTTATGTTTACTTAACTATGCATACAGTTTGGAGAAAATTTCTCATAAAATTCATAAATTTCCCACTTCTTATTGTAATTCTTTTAATAATAATTTAATTTCAAAATAAAATATTGAATTTAATCTCTTGAAAATTTAAGTTTTTAATGGAATTTTAATTTATTTAAAAAAATTTTTAAGAATTTTATTAAAATTTCTTTTTTTGTAGTTATTTTTCTATCTGAGTTTATTAATAAGAAAATCACAATTTTTAAAAATTCAATTAAGAACTTGGGACAGGGAATATTAAAAAACTAATTAATATTATTAAATTTTAATAGGCAACTGTAAAATTAAATCAAATCATATGAAAATACCATAATTTTAATAAAATTCGGGCAGAAAAATAAACCCAATCTCCGTAACTTTATTAATTTCCCTCTTAATCTAACACAAATTCGTTATGAGAATGATAAATGCATAAGATGATATAGGTACATAATATTCATAAATAATTAAAAAAAAATTTATGATACTAATAAAGATTCTGAAATGACAGAACAAAATTATAATAGAATGTCTTAATTCCGAGTAGATATAAAAATTGTAATACTCGTACAATTCATAATCATAATTTTGTACTCTTACTCTTAAGTCATAAAGAAAATATCATCAATATAACTTTTTATTTTAATTAAATTTTACATAAAATTAAATATATTATATTCAATGTCAATACAACTATAAATTTTAAATTTATGCTGGTCGTAAAAGCGTTTAATTTAATTTATGCTGGTCGTAAAGGCCTCTCTGGTACCTATATACAAAATTTTGGACATGGTTTATATATCCGCAATGATTACTGAATTGTTACTTAATAAACATTTATTTAAAATATAAAAAAAGTATGAAAATCGGATTGATAAACAGTTGAAAAATCAATTTAATCCTATTTATTAATTGAAAAATTTTTATTCTTTTTCTTAATAGGTTGAAATTAATGGACGAAGTCTTTCAATAATATCTGAAGCTATAGCTGGTAGTGATGTTGAAAATTGTCCACATGCATGTATCGCAAATCCATGCGGACCATTAGCTGAATGTTTGCCACTACTCGAAAGCTACGAATGTCGTTGTAATCCATTCAATGCACAATGCAATAAAGCTGAAGAAGTTGCCTTAAAAGAAAATATAAATGAATCTCATTTTCGAAATACTCAATTATTGATTTCAAATCCGAATATTGAGAAAATAAAAATTAAAAAAAATCAATATGAAAAAGATTTGGAATATAATTATGATGATGATGAAGATGACGATGATGATTACGACGAAAGTGAAATTCAACAACAACCATACATGAATTTTGTTAAAATTACAAATAATGTTACAAAACAACCGACTAAACAAATAACTTCAATTAGCAGAAGTAGAGAATCAGCTTCTGGTTTGAAAAATGCAAATTCTACAATAACAGTAATTGATAGTATGATTAATTCAAATGTTAAAATAGATGGTAATGGTATTGTAATAATTACAGAAAAATCAAGTTTACATAAAGATAATACAAACCATTCAGACTTACGTAATAAAATCCAAAGTCCACAAATTTCGGATATTTATTATTATTATTATGATAAGGATGATGATCAAAGTGGCACTAATTATAAAAATAATGACGATGATGACAATGGTGATGAAAATACCGATGGTACTAATATAATTGACAATAAAAATAACTTTAAGATTAATGAAATGGAAAAAACTACAGTTACAACTACAGAAAAATTAACATCATTTGAGCCAGAAACAATTATTAAACCTGACTATGAACATTCTACAACATCTATAATTAACCACAATTACAATAAAATAAAATCGTATCGTATATTGAAACCTATCAATAAAATTCATAAACATCATAATCATCATAATAATCAACATCATCATTCATATAATCATAATCAGAATAAATACTACAACAACAATTATAGAAATTATCAGGAAAATAATCATCATCAAACAAATGATAATCAACATCATCCAAAAGTTAATCTATATAAGAAAATGTTATTTAATATAGAAGTCGATAAAAATAATTCAGATTCAAAATTGAAAGGATATAAAAAGGATAATAATTTGTTATATAAAATTGATCAATATATTACACTTGAAAAAGATGACCAAATAGATCAAGACTACGAGAATTTTTACAATAGTAATAATAATCATAACAACAATGATAATAACAATAGTAATGATAATAAAAATCAAAATAATAAAATTATAAAAAAGAAAAATAATATGGAAAGCGGATTAAAACCATCATCACAGTTACAATCACCATCATCATTATTATTGTCATCATCGTCGTCATCGTCGTCTGAAGACAATGAAAATAGCGATTTTCAATTATCTTCAGAAACCAATAAAAATATTATAAAAGAATCTAATCAAATGGGTGAATTTATTTTACTATCTGAAGAGAAAACTTCAAAAGAAAGTAATAAAAATAACAAAAATAATAATAATAATGAAAGTAATAATAACAATGATAATAATAATGACAACAATAATAACTATAGAAAAAGAAAACATAAAAAGTTTTCAAAAAAGAGATATAAAATCTCAAATAATAATAATAATAATAATGAAAAACTTAAAATGGCTATCAATTCAAATCTTAATAAAAATGAACAAGAAACGGTAAAGGATAAAATTACCTACGAAAATGATTTCATCAATCATTTCATTGATTCTAATAACAATAATAATAACAACAATAAGAACAAGGAAGGTGATATTGATAGTAATATTAGTTATTGGCAACAGGATGACAATAATTCTGAAAATATACCATCTTTTACAAATAAAAATGTCGATAACAGCAATACCAATAATAATGACTATTCGGAGCCGATCACAACTGTGAAAATTTTCAATAATAAACGAAAAAAATTCACAAATCATAAAAAAGGTAAGTTGAAAAAAAAAAGGAGAAAAAACAAAAAAAAAAATTTATTTTTAGTTTTTTATCTCTCTTTTATGCTTCTTTATAGTTAAACAAAGACAAAGAAGAGAGGAAGAGAGGCAAATCTTATATATTCTTTGTTAACTGTCGTCGTCCAGCCTCCCTTCTTTTTAGTAGTTTGAATTTCGGAGAATTTATTTTTATTTTTAATTTTTATACCCTGCACTTCGTGAAGGGTATATTAACTTTGGTATGGAGTTTGTAACTACTTGAAGGAGTCATCTGCGGTATGGACATATATATATATTCTTGCTCAGCGTAAAATTCTGCGTCGATTTAGACATGTCCGTCCGTCCGTCCGTCCGTCCGTCCGTCCGTCCGTCCGTCCGTCCGATCGCACGATAACTCAAAAACGAATAATGCTATCGACACCAAACTTTCACAAGTTTTTTCTTTTGTGCCAAGGACGAACCCTATTGTTATTGGACTAATTCGGACAACGGGTTCGGGTAGCTGCCATACAACTCAAGGAGTTTATTTTAAATATTTCGAAAACTAATAAAGCTATTAATATAAAATTTTGTATACGTGTGTCCAATTATATTCTACACATGCTCTAAAAATTATAATGGGATAGCTGCACCGGTTCGGGTGGCTGCCATACAACTCCAACAGCAAATTTTTTATATTTGGCAAAATAATAAAGTCAGATTCGTGAAACTTGGTAGTCATGTGTCCAATTATAGGTCAAATGTATTTCTGAAGTTTTAGAAGAATTGCTTGACAGGTTCGGGTACCTGCCATACAACTCCAGAAGCTAATTTTAAATATTTGGAAAAACAATAAAGTGAGATTCATGAAACTTGGCAGTTGTGTGTCCGATTGTAGATCAGATATATTTGTGAAGTTTTAGTGGAATTGCTTGACAGGTTCGGGTACTTGCCATACATCTCCAAAAGCTTATTTTAAATATTTGGAAAAATAATAAAGTCAGATTCATGAAACTTGGCAGTTGTATGTCGAGTTATAGGTCAGATATATTTCTGAAGTTTTGGTGGGATTGCTTGGCAGGTTCGAGTAGCTCCCATACAAGTCTAAAAGTTTATTCTTAATATTTGGAAAAATAATAAAGTCAGATTCATGAGACTTGGCAGTCGTGTGTCCAATTATAGGTCAAACATATTTCTAAAGTTTTGGTGGGATTGCTTGACAGATTCGAGTAGCTCCCATACAAGTCTAAAAGCTTATTCTTAATATTTGGAAAAATAATAAAGTCAGATTAATGAAACTTAGCAGTTGTGTGTCCGATTGTAGATCAGATATATTTGTGAGGTTTTAGTGGAATTGCTTGACAGGTTCGGGTACTTGCCATACAACTCCAAAAGCTTATTTTAAATATTTGGAAAAATAATAAAGTCAGATTCATGAAACTTGGCACTTGTATGTCGAGTTACAGGTCAGATATATTTCTGAAGTTTTGGTGGAATTGCTTGACAGGTTCGAGTAGATACCATACAAGCCTAAAAGCTTATTCTTAATATTTGGAAAAATAATAAAGTCAGATTCATGAAACTTGGCAGTTGTGTGTCCGATTGTAGATCAGATATATGAAGTTTTGATGGAATTGCTTGACAGGTTCAGGTACTTGCCATACAACTCCTAAAGCTAATTTTAAATATTTGGAAAAATTATAAAGTCAGATTCATGAAACTTGGCAGTCGGATGTCCAATTATAGGTCAGACATATCCGTGAAGTTTCTATAGAATGACTTCACGGGTTCGTGTAATTGCTACATAATAACGAAAGGTGCAGGGTATAATTCAATCGGTTTATACCGACTGAAACGTTTTTACTTGTTTTATTGATAAATAAGTACATCTTAGTAATGTCCGATCAAGGAAGAAAATAAAATATTTTTTTTATATTTTGCAAAATAAAAATTTAAGTATAAAAAGAAAAGAAAGTTTTGAACTTAATAAGTGTGCTTGGAAAAGTCTTTAAATGAATCAATAAAAGTTTTTGCATTTAAAAAGTAAGGAAGAAATCAGAATTTTTTCTTTGCTTCCTTCAATTATTTTTTTGTTTTTTTATAAGGATACTAAATAATTTCTGAAGAAATTTATGAGAAACTTTTCATTTGTTATATAGGTATTTCGAAAGTAATAAGATGAAATTGTATTCACTTGGAATTTTCCTATATTTTGTATAAAAAACTCTGAAATAATTTATTTATATCTTAATAAAAAAATAGTTTGAAAGCATTAAAATTATTGAATTTAAAGCCGATTATTTTACCAAAAAGATTATATATACATAAATGTGTTGATGAAGAGCTGCAAAGATATTTTTATTTGCGCAAATTTTTAATTTAAATTATTTCAAACAGATTTTAGTAACAATATTGGAATAGTTTCTTAAATAAATTTTTCAAACAAATTTAATTTGTAAAACTTAGTCTACATTCGCACATTGGTAAGAATAACGTCGCAACTCAAAAATATAACTTCGACTGCCGGAATTTAATGTATTTATAGCCGTGTGTAAATTACTGTCGAAGGCTGAAAAACGTTGGTATATAACTATATGAACAAAATTTCTTTACTATTTTATTACAGAAAAGCCTTATATATTAAAGTATATTAAAGTATAATAGACAATAGTAATAAAACTAAGTTTTGTGAATCTACATTTTAATTTAATATGTCATTGTTCTCGCAAATGTGTGATATGTATATAAATTTTAAAATATAATTTGCTCTTGCTATAGGTATACAAAAAAAAAAATAGCAACTAATGTTAATAATATTCATTGCAATAAAACGGGGCAGAAAATGCAATTTTTTTGCTCTATCCCGATTTCTTCCAGTTTTTATCACTAGAAGCATGCAAAACTAAGCAGATGTGGTAATTTTTTTGAGTGTACCTATTGACATAAACCTTAAGCAGTATTCTTAATTGTTCGGCAGATGAACTGTCCCATGTTCATTACAATATACAGCACAAATTTAATTCCATAATTACGATATTAGCATAACTTAAACTTATATATAAGTGCTATAATGCTATAAGCAGCTAAACCCAATTCAAAATTTATTTAAATAAACAAATTTTCTTAATATTAAAATTATGGCCATTAAATTGAAAGAACCATTATTGTTTAACGGGAAAAAAGTTACCGTTTCCAAGTGAATAATTGATTTTTGAAGCTAATGGCAGTGTAACGGTTCATCATATTTGAAATATATAAGATATTTTTATAAAGTTTCCTGACATTTTGTTTCTTAACGTTCTGTTTATTATTTTATTAATAGGCCTGTTTATTTGTTAATTATTATCAGTAAACTTGTATCGTCTAGTATACACATGTAAGTTGCTCAAACAAAATAACTCTAGTATATAATTATTTCGAAAAATACCGTAAAATAACAGATAGAAAGATGAAAAAATTCATAGAATTCATATACGAAATTATTTTACAAATTTAAAGAAAGAATGTTGCCTGTTCTTCACTTACACAAAAAAAAAGAGAATAAAAGTCAAACTAGAATAATTTCACAAAATATCTTAACACTTAGGATATACACTCAATTCCTTCCTTAATTACTTTCATAAATCTATAATTAAATGCAATTTAGAAAATTTCTCAAGTAAATGCTTTTCTAATCCATTATACACAAATTACAAATTTCTATTTTCAGGCAAAAACAATGTTAATTTTCATCATAATATCCATCATAAAAACCGAGCACCTCAAATAAATCAAGCAAATATATTTGAGTTTGATATACCAAGTGATATTCAAATTTCTAGTACAACAACTGTACAAAATTCCAATGAAAATGAACTTATTAAAAATTCCAATAATAACAACAACAACAACAGCAACATAAAAAATATTTACGATAACAAAAGTACCATTAAAACTTTTAATACATTCAATGTACAAACCAGCAGTATACCTGATACATCAAATATCAATATAAATAATAATGTTCGAGATAAATCAACCTCATCTGCTTTTCTTGTCGATGAAAAAGATTTTCAAACAAAAGAATTAATAAAAGATATGGAACGTATTATGAAAAATGCAGATGGTTACGATTATGATCCACTAAAGGATTCATTAACCTCAGAACAAAATCAACAGAATCAACAACAACATAAAGAACAACAATTGCAACACCAGCAACAATCTATTGAACCATCTAATTCATACAATGTTAACACAAAAACTCAACTAACTAAAAATATTGGTAATCATATTACTGATTTAAATAGCAATATTGATATAAATAATGAACATAAACCAGCAACTAGTAATATTAATAATGGTAATGGTATTAGATCAAATCATAGAAAAATACAACAACATGGTGCATGTTTTACTGGAACCGATAGCTATTTTCATTATAATGATGCTGAAACTATGAGTCAAATAATTAGTTATAATGTTGATTTAAATTTACGTTTTAAAACTCATTCAAATAATGGTATCATTTTATGGACGGGCAGACAGAGCGCCAGAGAAAAAGATGATTATCTATCTTTGGGTATTGAAAATGGGTATGTAAAAAACTTGCTTTTTTCCTTATTCCCATTTGTACAGTATGTACAATGGTATCATTTGTACAGTGAAATTATATTAGCTTAATTATATAACATAAGACATATATTTTCCAATGTACATAGCTATTGTTAATCATTTGTTTACAGATATTTACACCTCAGATATAATTTGGGTTCTGGTGAAACAAATATACAATTTAATACAAGTAAAGTGAGTGATGGTCTTTGGCATCGTGTTAGAGCGATGAGGTAAATTTGTTAAGAAAAAAATTATTTATTTAATAATAACATGAAATAACTTTCCAAAAAGGAATTCACAAGAAGGATTCTTAGAAGTAGACGGTAGAAAATCAATACCCCAAAGATCGCCCGGAAAGCTTAGGCAATTAAATACTGATACTGGACTTTATGTTGGTAAGTATTAAAATTCGTATTTAAAATCAATATTAAAAATTATACGAATTGTCTTCCCAAAAATTTGAATAAAGTTCAAACATAATGTCTCTAACCGAAACCACTTTAGAAACGTTTTTAGAAATTTCGATTAGAATTTTACATATATTTGATGCGTTAATTGAAATGAACACTCAAAGTGCGCAATAGTTTGAATTCAATAGTTTGAAGAATTCCTTCAAAAAAAAATGAAAAATTCTTAAATTCACATATAAAAAGTTCAAGACGACATACGTAATATTAATGAATCTTTTGTTTGCCTCAAGGCAAACCGTATTGCAGGTGTTCATTCAGAGCTCTCTATCAAAAAATATGCTGAATAAGTAAAATTGTTGCATATTTAAACACTTTTTACCACACATACGTGGATATAAATTGGAATAAAAACTTGTTTTTCTAGCACTTTTCCAAAAAATTTTTAATAAAAAGTGTTTATTAATGTCACTCTGTCCATTCCTTCATCCGTCCGTCTGTCTCTCCGGGTGTCTGTTTACAAAACTTTACACCCTTGAATATAGAATGCCATATATGAATTCGCCTTTACTAGAAACGATTTTTCGTTGAAGAAAACTTTTACTTACCTCTCCCACTATAAAAATTATAGCCTCAAAGTCCTAAAAATGCCAGTTTTTGACTGTTTATTGTAACGAAATCGCAAGTATTTTTTTGTAATCTGTAAACACATGAAAGCAGTGAGGAGCTTTTTTGATCTTTAAGAAAACAAAATGGCAATTAAAATTATCCGTTATCTAAAATCCGTTTTTTTTCTCATCCTAAATGAATGCAATACTTTTATTTATAATTTGGCATATTATAATAAAACTTATTTAAGTAACGTAGTAGATTGCTTTTGAAAGCAGTATTTTCACTTTTTAAAGGGAAAATTGCTTCCTTACAAACCATTGGTTTGACTCAAGTTTATTACATTTTTCCTTTGCATTTCTAATTGTAAATTTTTTGTTACCTTTGTTTTCAATAAAAATTAGTCAATTCAATGCAGATTTTATTTATCATTTTAAAATTGAAATCTAAATACCTAAATATATTTTATTTGCCATTAAAATTTCTCTTTACTTTATTTTAGGTGGAATGCCTGATGTATCATTTTATACAAGAAGACGTTATTATACTGGAATTGTTGGCTGTATATCAGAAATTGTATTAGCTGGCGAATTGAAATTAAACTTAGATCCTGCTACCTTAGGTACAGCACGTAATGTTGAGACTGGAATTCTTTGAAAATTTTTTGCTGATGGAAATTATTCTTGACATTAGTACAATATAATAAAATGTAAAAAATAATTTTTTAATTTATTAATTTTTTTTTTTCCTTTTTTCTAATTTTTACGACTTTTTAAATTATTGATTAATTAAAAACTATTTTCTTTTAAATAATGATAAATAAATGATTAGTTTTTTTTAAATTTTAAATATTTGTAGAATAAATAATATTATATAAATTTATAAAAGAAAAAAGAAAATATATAAGAAAATTTAAAAGAAAAAAAAAATAATATCATAAGACCTTAACTATAGGATGTTTATAATAAATTGTGAAAGATTGATGATACTTGAATAATACTGATAATGATGAAAAACAAAATTTTGTTGCTTTTTTCCATAATTTATAATTTTGTACAAAGCCTAACAAAAAAACGATGAAAATGAAAAAAAAAAACGTATAAAATGAAAACTATAATTCAATAATAATTAAATTTACTAATATTTTAAATAGAGTAATTATTATTATTAAAAATAAGCATAAGCAGTCTAATAAACTAATAGAATATAAAAAAATAAAATTAAAATTATTGCTAAACTGCTTAAATTAGGAATAATTATATAAAATAGGGGGAGTAGAAATGAGGCGTGTAAATTGAAAATTTGTTTCATTTTTTAAAAATAAATTTTATGAAATGTAAGGTTTTCATTTTTTTTTTTTTGTTTTGGTATATAAAAATTTTTAATTACTGACAAAAATAATAAAAAAAAAATTCTAATTGATTTTACGAATATTTGAATAAAATAATTAAAATTTACAATTAAATATAAATAATATAGATGTACAAGTCTATTTTAGCATAATATTGTATTTGGCATGAAATTCTTTTTGAAAATAATTTTTAAAAAATAATCATTAAGTTAATATCATAATATATATTTACATATTATTATAATTATATTTATAATTATATCAAATAATACCTTAAAATTGTGATAATTCTTATACCGATATTATTTAATTGAAAAAAATTTCTATATTAATTGCATAAATTACGGCTTGTACACAAAAGAAATGCAATAACATTAAGGAAAACAAAAAAAAATAAGTACTCGTAATAGAAAACAAAATTTAATTTACAATGGAAAATTACTTTTACTCAAACATATGAGACTCTATTTAACTCTCTCAGATACTAGTTACATTTGTTTTTAAAAGAAATTTTGATAAAATTACTTTCTTTAAGAAATGAGTTCTCCAAATTGTTTTAGTTCTTCTTGAATAATGAAAATAGGAAATTGTGTCAACAATCTGATTTCGTTTCATATACATAAATCAAAGAATACTATTGGATAAATACTTAGATGAAAAAATTTCAGTTCAGAAAAGAAATTATTAATTTTCTAAAACAATCATTGTCCAAAGAAATATTTAACCATTCTGAATGAATGAAATTCTATTAGTTTATTTAACCTTTGCTACTTATAATGATTTATATGATTCTAATAATGAAATAAATCTTTTGCGTTATTTAATCGCAAAAGAACATTTTTTTACTAAAAATATTCCGTTAATATGAGTACTAATACTCATATGGTACTTTTGTTGGATACAAATCGGAAATTCTTGTTCAAAAATTAAACTTAGTGATGTTAATGTTTTTAAATATAGTTCAGTTTACTATATTTCTACCTTAGTAAGTAAACTCTATGATTTGTGTATCTAACTTAAGAGTCATACAACTAAAAGCTTAATGGTTTTCTTAAATAAACATACTGAGTGTTCCTAAAAAGGAATAGTGAGTATAATTACAGTTATTGCAAAGTTATTTACAATATTCTAAAGCAGGGTATGTTTATATGTATAACAGTTATTGTTGACATTGTCAGCTTTAGATTTATGTAGCTACATATATAAGTATGCGTCATACAAGCGATATGCTAACGAAATCTTAACAATTTCTTAAAATCAAACTTTAAATGTTTCCTGCATGTATTTCAAGAAATCTACTATTTCTTATTAAAAAATAAATTAAATTTCAACTTTTAAATTAAAAAATATTCAAAACCTACACCATTTTTGTTTTATTGTCGACGAAAAAGCAACAGAAAATTCTTTTATCTCTTCATTTTGTATTCAGAAACAACCACCAAATTAAAAAAAATATAATAAATTAATTTGTAAAACAAAAACGAACTAATTAATAATTAACAAATGAAAAATACTTAATAAATAAAATTTGAAAAAAAAAAACAAAGCAAAACTTAGGTAAAATTAAATAAAAAAATATTTATGTTTATAACAAAGTGCATAATTATACTTGTATGTGTATAAAACAATATATAATATACTTCGTATATAATATGATGAATGTATATGAGAAAATAATAAAATAATTACGATAGATTTAAATTTAAAATAAAAAAAAACTAATAAATAAATAAAAATGAAATGTATAATATAAGTATATAATAAATATTAATGTATAAAATAAAAATATATTAATAAATAGAAGTATAGAAATATAGAGAAATTTTTGTACGAATTCTAATTTGCTATAGAATAATTGAAAATAAAAAAAAACTCACTAAAAAATATTATAAAACATACATTATACATACAAACGGATATATACTAGTATATAAATGAAATAATTATGTCTAAATAAAAAAAAAAATAATAATAATAATAACTTGAATAAAACAAAATTAAGAGCCACACAACAAAATATACATATATACAATATCATTTAATTAATAAAATAATAAAAAGTAAAATCTAATATTAAGCAATCGATAAAAATAAAAAAATCTTATGCAAAATAATTTATTTGAAATGATTATCGTATTTATATATATATATACATATATATTTAAATATAAGTATATATACAAGAGAATGAAAGCGATCTGTGTAGTAAATTCAAACAAAAACAAAAAAAAAAAAAATGAAAAAAATATGAGAAGATGAAAATAGTTAATAAGATGGAAAAAATTTAATAAATAAATAAAATATACATACAAACATATACATATATATATATATATAATACTATATATATATATATATGTATATATTATATAAAATAATATAAATTAATATTAACTAAAACAAACACATTCCTTTGGTGAAATTCAATTAAAATACAAAAAAGAAAAAATCAAATAAAAAAAATTTACAAAATAAATGAAAGCAAATAACAAAAAAAAAACAAACAATTAAATTCATATACACATACACAAACTATATATATACATACGATTTAATTAAAATTTTAAGTCAATTTTACTTAGGAAACGCAATTACACGACGTATCATAATTTTTATAAAAAAAAAAATTAAATTTTAAGAAAAATAATTTGTTCTTTTTGTTTTTTAAAGTTAACGTATACCAATTTCAGATTGTCCATCCGATATCCCTAATAAACGAAACGAAGATCCTTATTGATTTTAAATGAAGATATTGAAAACACAACTTATCTGTAATGAAATGTGTGTAAGCTCAGATTTTTCACGATTTTGAAAATCTCAACAAGAACAAGCTGTATTTCGAGGGTGATTTAAAATTAAATTGGGCAATAGAAAATGTGTACTATTTTAAAATGTGTACAATCTGCTTGCTACATTGTTTAAATTTCTTTCATTCATATGAATAATTTGCATACATTTAGGATGAGCAAAATAAAATTCAAAGAAGAATAGCACATAATAATATTGAATTGAACGGATAAGTTAGTAAAGATGAAAAATTATATTTTTTTTCGTGGCATGCCATTTTATTTTGCTGTTATAGAAATTTCGTAAAAGCAATACAAGACGCAGAATGCTGAAATTTTACAACTTAGGAGGGAACGGCGATAGAAAAAAATTTCTTTTGATAAAAAACACTATTAACTAATATCCAAACTCCCGAAATTTCAGATTTCAACAGCTTCCAATCTAGAAAAAGAGTTTTCCTAATTTTTTTTAAAAAACGTATTTTAAATAAGTGTTGATTTCAGGAAAAGCGGTAAAGACTATGACATTTTTAATTCTAGATAAACAATCGTGAATAGATTTGTTCTATCTTCAATAAATTTTGCTCCAAACATTTCCAACAACTCTATGATCATAGTTTAAGGGAAAAAGTTTGTAAGGCATGGAATTTCAGCTAATGGTGAAAAACCAATTTTTTATTACACTTAAAGTAATTTTATTATAATTTTTAGAATTATAAACAAAATTTCTTCATTTTAATTTTATTAAAATCTATAAAAACTTTAAAATTACTTTTACCGAAAATCCGGTCTTCTGAACTGGTCAAGCACTAAACCGATAAAGTAAACAAATTTTTTTAATTATTTACGTTCAATACAAAATAACTTTCGAATTTTTAGAACATTTCAATAAAAGTTGTGTATACTTTCAGTAAAAAACTCAAATATTTTTAAATATAAAAAAAGGAATACGAGCAGTATAATTAAGTTAAAAAACTAACATTAAATAAACTTTTTTACTGAAACTTAAAGATGTAATCTTTCAAAAAAAATATTTCAACTTCATGTCAAAATATTATTGCAAAACTTAAACAAATATTCAGGGCTCTATTTATGATCAATGGACGGACGTCTGAAAAGAGGAAGCGTTAAGTTTTTGAACATTTTAAATTTAAACCCTCTTTTAAGAGTAATCTATATAAAAAAATATTTGTTTTCATTGTGATTGTTTTCATTCAAAAGTATTTGGTGAAATAAAATTTATACAAAAAATTTGTGCAGCACATTTTTGATTTGATTGCCTTGCACTCTAAATATACCATATAAGTAATACTAATTGTATTTACCAAACATTATATAAATTAAGTTGTGTAAAAATTATTATTAAATCACAAAGCCAAGAACACCACAATATTATATTACTTAAAAAATTATTTTAACTCTTAGTTTTTTCATTATATTAAAAAATTTTAAAATATTAAAATATTTTTTTTAAATAATTCTTAAATTATTAAAAAAATTAATTATTTTTGTTATTATAAAAATAAATACTCCACATACATTTTAAATTTCCTTTTTATATTAATTTAGAAAACATAGAAGAAAAAAAAACAAGAAAAAAAATTTTTATCATAGATAAACTTTAGTTAACAGAAAATTGGAAATTTTCAATCAAAATAAAAATTTTTAATTTAATATAAAAAAAAAATATAATAATAATAAGCGAAAGTCAATTTAAAAATTACAAAATAACAAAAAATAGTAAGGAAATCAAGTGAAAAAAAATTGAATACGTACATACATAAATAAATTGTTATTTAAATCCCTCCAATATCTTTCTGCATTTTTTCTTTTAAAAAAAATATGAACAAAATTTAAAATTTGTAACTAAAAAATTTTAGTTCTCAAATTAAAAATTAATTTTTTTTAACAAAATTAAAAAATTAAAAAACCGCGAACAATATCAATTATGAAATTTTATCAAAAAAATTATGCCTGCCAATAACAGATTTAAAAAAAAAAGCTTCTCGCCCAATATCGACAAATAAATGTTATTTTAATGCAAAAAAGACTAAAATACAAAATAAAATAAAAATTTTTAATTTTAAATAAAATTATATACAAAAGAAAAAAAAAACAAAAATAAATATGTAATAAATATGAAGAATTAATAAAAACACAAAAAAAAAACCAAAAACATAAAGTCTAAAAACACAATTTTCAATACAATTTCGATTAGAAATTTAAATTTAAGAAAAAAAAATAAAAAAATTTACGAAAATTATTTTGCAACAACAAAAAAACAACAATTAAATATTTTTGAATCCTACTTACATACACACATATGCATATATAGAATTGTAATTATAAAATTATAAAAATATCACAAACATCATACTAGCAACATTTTATTTATCCGCAACATTCACATAAAAAAACATTTTTGTAACATTCAAAAACAATACACACCAAAAATATTAACGTTATTTTTCTGGCATACAAGACGTCAACACAAAACAAAGTCACTTTGCTCGCATTTTTTTTTTTTTGGAGCGTTAGATCTCATTTGATTTTAATAGTCACTTTAGTTCATCAGTAAAATTCAACATCAAAATAATTAGAAAATAGAAAACAGAAAAAATAAAATAAAAAAAAATGTATACATACATAAAAGGAAGTAAACGCAAAAATTTTTACATTTGTTTTGTCTTTTTATCATTTTTTATATAAAAATAAAAAAAAAAATTATATAGAAGAAAATCAGAAAGAAAATTGAATAAAATTGTAAAAAGTAATAATTAAGAAAACAAAAGCACCTAACTGTAATGATTGTAAAAAGTAAAAAAAAAAAATGAAACTAAAGTAATTATAAAAATGAAAAATTGAAAATAAAAAAACAAAAAAAAAACTTAATTGATAAAAATTTGTAAAATTATAAAAAACAATTTACTGAGAAAAAGCGTGAATAAAAAATGAATTGGAAGAAATCAAGTTTTAATTAATTTTATTACACAATTAATATTTTCGAAGACTGTATACAATGATCTCGAGATTATTGAAAAGTTTCGATGCATGTACACAAACACATACCTAATGCAGTAGCTTAGAATATGACATTTTTGCAAAAATTTGAAAGAAATTGAAGTCGATTTAAATCATAATTTCTAAAAAAATTTTGCAAGTCAATTAGAATTTTCAAAAAATTTTCTGCGCAACTTGTTACAACAATCAATGAAAATTTGCATGTATTTTCTGTTAAATGCAATATTTAACAGTTTGCAACAAAATTAAATGCGTCATTTTCAATTTTTCGAAAGTGGTGAATTATCGACGCGAGAACAACAATATTAATACAATCAATAGTTTTAAAATATCGAAATTATTAATTTTTTTAAATACAATATTTTATTGAATCGTTAGATAAAGCAAGTTCTTGAATAATTTGAAAGGTAAGAACGAGCTGCTAATATTAAATTAAATTCGGAGAATTACGTAACATATTTTATACATACGAGTAATATATATTTTATTAATATAGGTACATTCGTTTATATCTGTCTTTTGAAATATAGAAACGAATGAATATTTCATAATAGTAAATGCTCAAATTGAAATTTAACACTATACTCATATCATATGAGTACTGGACTAAAGCTTAATTATTTTTAATACAAAACGATTTTTAGTTAAGCACGTATATTGCGGTATTGCGCCCAAAAATTTAATAAATGCTGCGAATAATACTATGAAGTTAGCATATTTCGGGACTATTGATATATTGTGATAATTATTTTACGACGATATAATAAAAGTATCAATACTTTAATATATTATATCGATAATTCTCCAACAACACATTCATCGATATTTGTTCAACACTATATTTATTATGAGATAAGAACTTTCGCCATGTTTATGTAATATATAAGTCTCGTGCAATAGAAACTGTGTTATGCAACATATAGTATCTGCTATAAATTTAAGAACTTAAAATATTTAAGTTAGCATACAATTAGCATCTTCATGATTTTATCGTTTGGGAATAAAAAGCACGTGGCTTATCATTCTAAAACAAGGAAAAATCTTTTTATTATCAATGGGTTTTAAATTTTGACTTTATATTGTCAAGACTGACACTTATAGATTTTAAATTGATTATTTTTGTTAAATATATTTTTTGATTTTAATACTTACATTTTAAAGTGATTGCATGGACTTTTGTTAGTGCACTTAAATTATGAACCTTATTGCAATATACAAAAAAACTATGTAGTTTACTGTAAAAATATTACCTATTTATTCCTCTCTTGCTTTCTAGATGCCATTACTCTTCACCTTTTCTCTCCACATTCTTTTTATAATAATATGGAAACGCTTATTTTTTACATATTACATTCTTTTCGCAACATAACAAGATTTTTATTGAATTAAATAACAAAAAAATTTTACAAAGATTTTTAATTTATGAACTAAAATATTGCACAAATATAGATAAAACTTAAAATTATAATAGACTTTGTTATTTTTTAAGAATTTGGTATTTGAAATTATTACTTATTACTAGTTTTTTACGTAACTTAACAGAATTTTAAAACAAAACGTGAACCAATTATAGTTTATTCGTTTTTGAATAATCAGTGATAGCCTGATCTATATTTTCGTTTTTTTGGTTTTTGTGGTATAACATGAATATAACTATCATAATCTTCATCTTCTTCTTCATCAGCTTTTGAATAATTATGTTCAATATGTTCAACATGATGATGATGTTTTTCTTTAATTGGTACAGGTACTGGAACTGGAACTTTTTTAATTATTGTCTTTGTATGAACATGAGTATGATGTTTAACGGGCACATGAATTCGAATCCTATATGTAAAGAAAAAGTATTAAATTATTAACTATATTTAATCATTAATTATAAAATTGTTATTGATTATTTTATGTTATTTATCATTCTGTTACAGGTTTACTAATAGAATTTTGAACTAAAATAGAGAAGATCGTTTACTAATAAAAAATTAAATATTCTGTTTTTTTTTGGAAAGAAATTATTTCTTTAAATGTAGAGGGTTCTTAAGTGTTATTTCTAATTCAAATATTTGGTCAAAAGTCACTAAAATTTTAGTAGCATGATCATTTTATGCCCAAACATAATTTCCTCACTATGCGTTACAAACAGAAAATTTTAAACCAAATATTTTCACAAAAAAGTTTTTAAGAGCCGCTCGTATTATTAAATTAAAATTTGAATATGAAGGCAAACTTCTTGGTCGTAAAATTTATAATACCAATATTGCTATTAAAACCATTGAAATTTATCACAAATGACCGACTCAAACAGTAAAGTTAAATTTAATCAACTCATAAATTATCATACATAGCTTTTTCGATTTCTTAAATAAAATAATATTAATAAATTTTTAAAGTTTAATTCCGAATCACTGCGCTTTTCGAAAATTCTCGTCTTGAGAATTATTTTAAAATTAAAATTATATTCATTATTTTGATTACTCACTTCGCACGATCATATCCAGGGCGCGCATACGACAAGCTGACAACAACAATAATGAGAAAAGTAAATATCCAGATCTGCATTGATACAACATAAAATTTTATTAATTAATTTTTTAATTGAACTATAAATAATTATTCATTTTATTTGTAAATATAAAAATCACTACAATTTTAACACAAAATTTGTAAAATTCTTGACACTTACAGAGCTTTTCACTAAATTCATTTTGTTTATTTCTTATTTTTTTTATATTTTTTTCTAAATTGAAAAATTTCAAATTATTACTGAACTTGAACAATAATGGAAAATCTTTGATTATTTTTTATAATATTCCTAAAGTTATATAATCACATAGGATCCTTGTAAATTCCACACATTTATAAATAAGCACACATTTGCAATAAAAAATAATTCAAAAAAAAAATTGATTTTTCGCGATCGAATCTGAACGTTTTCTTATTATAAAAATTTACTTATTATCACGATAGACCGAAACACAATAAGATCTGAGATACCATTGCGTTTAGTCTTTAAATAATTTCCACTTTAAAAAATTCACTGCCAACCCAAAAGCAAAAATTATCAAAAGAAAAAGAAAGAAAATGAAAATATTTAGTGGAAAAGGTAAGAAAATCAAAAAGAAAATGAAAAAATTTTTTTATTATCAATTATTTTTTTTATTTCTTTTTTGATATTTACATAAGCAAATAATGCTGCATGCTTAACTTGTAGTTACGGTAGATTTTCCCGCCATCGGCTTGGCAAAATGCAATTGTTAGTGGCTATAGGGAATTATTATTATTGCATATTGTGTCTTGTAACCATTCATACAATGTAAAATAAGTGATGTTACTATAGCGTTTGATGTTTGTTATTTTACAATTTGCATTGCTAGAATATTTGAAGAGGGAAACACGCTAAAATTTAAAATATGAATTGTTTGTGTTCCAAAAAATTCATGTTGAAGCTAATTTAATATAATTTTTATTTTCTTCTTTAATCTACTAAAAATCACCCGAAAATTTAAATTTAGTGCTTTCGATTTCATTATTTGAAGGGTACCTACCACTTTATAGCTACTTAAACATTTTGTCAAAGCAAATATTCTCACTAAATTTAATATGAAATATAAATTTTTACTCAACAAACCGCTATAAACGACAGAAAATATTTTTGTCGCTTATTCTCACAAGAATCAAAAACCACGTCCTTTTCATGACCTTCAAGATTTTTATATATAATTTTTCAATATCAAGATTCATTTTGCTTTCAAATATACTCTTTAACTCTGAGCTGTAAAATATTGGGTTTTTATTAGTATATACAAATAGCAATAACTATAAACTTATATCGGCTGCATTTTATTATTGTTATTTCACTTTAATACCATTACTTGGTGTAGAGAAACAGTATGATCGTAATGCTATACGGTTAAGTAATATCGGTTATAGATAACTTGTTTTTTTATTGTACATTAATTCAATTATACAGAAAATGCAACGAAATAACGTTCAATGCTGTCATAAATTACGTATCAACACTAGTAGCAAATATTTACTCCTTTTTTTTGTTTTTGAAATACTAGTATACTATAATTTATTTATACATATAATTTGTATCTCGATGACGAATTTTCCATTACGATATTCACAGAAGTTAAATTCAATTATTAGTTTGATGCAGAAAATTCAACAATTTCAGTTCAAGTATACAGTAAACTTTTAGAGTATAAATAATAGCAATTGGTTCTTTTTCTGAGATTAAACTAGTTAAGTGTACTTATACGTCATTACTTGAAATTTAAAATAGGTTTATAAAAAGTATTTTCATACCATGCAAGTTTTTCTATAAATCATCCGATGGTTGAAAATTGAAAAGAACTGGGTCATCTTGTAAGCTATATTTGTATGGGAAGAACTGTGATGAGAAGAAGACGACCAGCTGCCTTCTTTGATATCTTTGTGTTATACGCTTTCCTCATCGTTAACTAATTTGGAAAAACTCTAGTTTATGTGAGAATGGATATACGGATATTAAGCAGTATAATAACGATCATATCCGATCTTATTGTATCTTATAGTAAAGGCGCCAACATTTCTATGCAAACAAAACTAGATTTGTTGGAATTTTTAAAAATTAATTTAAAATTATAGTTACGTGCTGACAAGATCACATGTGCTTTTTTTAATTCTATTAGTTATTTCAATAACCAATGATTAATAAATTAATAATATAATAGTCATTAACATTTTAATAATGAGATATAACAAATAATATTTAAGGAATCATTTAAGTTGTTTTATTGATATATTTTATAAACTATGGATATAATATAATATAATTATGCAAAAAAAATTATGTGTTTTATAAATAATAATGAATAATGCATAATTAATAACATTAAAAATTTATAAGTGAATTAAATTTAATATTTTGAATATTTTAAAATTGCATTATTGAACTTGTGCTGCAGAGATTTTTTTTATTATTATGGTCACGGTATATAAAACCTATCATATGTATTTTGTGTCAGACAGGAATCGAATGAATCTTTTACTTTTTAACTTAGTTTAATTGATCGGCATCTGTTCCGTAAAACTGGTTAATAATATTAACGAAAACGATAAATTATAGACCAGTTTAATTAAAAGAGAAAAAATCTTTTCCTTTTTTTTTTTACTAAACGCATTGCATACAATAAGGGAGGGTATGCTGTGGCACCAAATTTTGCATGTCAAGTATTTGACGGAAATTTAATTCTCAGTAATTGAAAAACGTAAATGAACTACGAGTATTTATAGACAAATGTGTGTCCATCTGTTTGGCTGTAAACTCAATTTCAATGAAATGTACTATTTTTAAAAAGAAAATAATATTTGAGTCTACCTTCGGTTTTTGGATAGATTGATTAAATTTGAAGATTTTTTTCATGTATTCGATTATATGTAAGCAAATAGTTAATGGATTTTTCTAAAAGTTCTCAGAAACCTTCTCATATATTCCTTTCCAGAAACAGTTGTCAGGGAAATGGAATTTCAAAGAGTGAACCTTTACTAAGACCAAAATTTAGATTTTTAGAGAATATAATTTTTATGTTTTGAGGACATTTTCGCAATCTTTTGAATTTTGAAGAAAACAAACATGGTAGTTATGTGCTGTTCACATCAGATTTTTTTTTGTCTTTCACTATATATTTTGTTGTTTCTGTAATATCTTCACTAGAAATTATTCCACATTTCCTTGGGTAAAAAAAATAAACAAGACTTCAGTGGATTTTTTTCTATGTTACATCTTTATTATTACTGAAATCGATTTTCGAAAAGATATTAAACTATAAAATCGTTTTAATAAAACAAAAATGTAACGCTTAATTCAATATTGTGTCTATAAAGAAAATATACTTTTCATATTACAAAAAATGTAACTTAGATGTTGTACAAAAGACAAATGATTGCCTCATGAAATGATCACGAAATCATTATTTTCATGCCATTTCAATAAATTATTTTCTTTAATTTTGTTTTTTTTTTCTGTTTTATCTAATTTTGATTGATGTTTTTCAATCCACTTCCTTGATATGTTAATGATTTTTCAAATTGTATTACAAAAATACAAAACGGATTTGTTACAAAAGAATTGAAAAATACAATAGAAAACTATAGAGGATAAAAAGATTACAAAATAAAAATTTCATAAAGCGTTTTTTTTGCTGGAAATAATTATAGTTAAAATAATTTTTTGCAATCAAAACAATATTAAAATTCAATAATCGCTATAATTTGACATAATAAAGAAGCAACAAAAAAAATTTTATCAAATTATATCAAGAAATTTCAATGATGGTGTTTTGTATTTTTTTATTAAAATGTGCAGAAAATAGACTAGAAACTTTCATTTTTTTAAAAAAAATTCATAAGGTACTTGAAATAACATTATGGTTTTATAAGTTGCTCTAAAATAATCGATTTGGGAATAATAAATATCACATTTTATTGACCCATTAATTTTTTATGTTTTGTAATCATAATTTGATCAGATATGCGTATAATTTTGATCAGTTTAGAAAAATTGGATTTAAATTTAGTTTAAAAATTCAATTCTTTTAAAAGCTCGTATTGCTTTCAGTAACACTTCAAATTTGGATTATACTAAATTGAAAATTTAAGGCATTATAGAGAATATTTTTCATATATACGAAAGATCCGATTTTAAATGTTTGTTAAGAACCTTCGTAAATTTTAACTTCATATTCATAAACATACATATATATAAAAACTGATGTGATCATCACATAATCGTTACAGAAAATTATAAAAATGCCTTTGAAACACATCTTTCCAATTTTAAGGAAGTTAAAAAAATTTTAGCTAATACACCTAGAAAAATGTAAATTTATCTTTTAGTGGATTTTTGCCATCCGAATTCTCTAAAAAAATTGACATTTTGTTTAGATAACAACTAAAATTGAAGTAATAAATTTCAAGAGATTTCATTAATAAGTTAGTTCTGTTAGTTCGGCAAATATGGTAAAAGGTGTAAAATCTGCCTCTGGACCCTGGTCTTTCCAAAAAATTTTCATAAGTTCATTGTTTTAATATCCGAATTTAAATATTAAACTTCAAGGGATTTAATTGATTATTTCTCTTTATATACCCAAAAATGTGAAACCGGCCCGCAAAATTTCTAATTCCCGATGACTGATATATCCCAAAAATTTATCAAACTGTGACATAATTAAAATAAGTTCACATAGAAAATTTCATCAAAATCGGTTCAGATAAACTTGAGATCCGTAATTTGGTGCCATCACATAAGGGATGTTATTGTATGCAATGCGGTAAATATAATACATATATATTATACAATTACTCGTTTCTTAAAAAGTATTCTTTCCAAATGCTCAGCTATTATAAATGATATAAAAGTTTTGACAGAGTTTGATGTGCTTTCACCTTAACACTACCCACATATTAGTTTTGCAACCATGTTTAAATTTTTATTTTATGCTTAATATAAAAATATTCAATAAATAAATTCAATTACATTTCTACAGTGGAAAATTTAAAATTCATTTTTAAATTGTAATTAACAATTTTTATGGAACCTCGTTTCATATTCCAATATTGTCTGCAAAAAACAAATAACTGAAAAAAATAACTGACAAAATTTATTAACGATTTCAGCCAGTTAGGCAAGCAAGATAATATCTAATATTACGTACATTATGTTCTAATACGAAATTTTTATATACACACATGCATCATCGTGTTTGTGATCACACACTTGTATCTTTGTATTTGTAATAAAAAATGATCAC